TAAGGGTCAACACCAGCGTCTACCAACTTCGAGTAATGAGTCTTTATCTTGTTACGCCAACTTTTGTAAAGAGTTTTACACTTTTTATTGACTCCTTTCCAAACCTCTTCATCTTCATCATAATCAACAATCTCAAATTTATTCTGCAAATATAATGAATGCTTTTATTAATATCAAAATGCAAGTAATGGTGATAATCTAATTATTTGAAAAATAACAAATACATGTACCCGAACTGCTTGAATGATTAGGGCTTTATGAATCTCATCAATCTTGTCCCACTTTCTTATACCAATGATTGGAGCAACCATCCTTATCTGTAAGCCAAGTTCATTTGCAAATGGAGTGGCATAAGGCCCTACTGGCACTTTCTATCTGCAGGGATCCAAACAGGAAGTTTTTCACCACCACTGTTAGCTATGAGACGTGCTATGCTCTTCCCTTGAGTCTGACCCCTGAATTGTCTAAAACGAGTATGCAAACTAGTTTTAGATGGTGCATCCTAGGTAGTAGTTGCATTTGTAGATGATGTAGCCTGGGTAGCAGTTGCATTTGTAGATGGTGCAGGCTAGATACTTAGAGCATTTGTAGATGGTACACTCTGAGTAGATGGGGTTAAATTAGGTGTTACATGCTGAGCAGGGGCAGCAATTCTAGCTGCAGCTTGTTGGAAAGGTAGAGGAACTTTGGATGATGATGCACGTTGATCTTTACCAGGGCCTATCATAGTTGCATTTGTAGATGGTGCAGGCTGGATACTTAGAGCATTTGTAGATGGTACACTCTGAGTAGATGGGGTTAAATTAGGTGTTACATGCTGAGCAGGGGCAGCAATTCTAGCTGCAGCTTGTTGGAAAGGTAGAGGAACTTTGGATGATGATGCACGTTGATCTTTACCAGGGCCTATCATAGTTGCATTTGTAGATGGTGCAGGCTAGATACTTAGAGCATTTGTAGATGGTACACTCTGAGTAGATGGGGTTAAATTAGGTGTTACATGCTGAGCAGGGGCAGCAATTCTAGCTGCAGCTTGTTGGAAAGGTAGAGGAACTTTGGATGATGATGCACGTTGATCTTTACCAGGGCCTATCATAGTTGCATTTGTAGATGGTGCAGGCTGGATACTTAGAGCATTTGTAGATGGTACACTTTGAGTAGATAGGGTTAAATTAAGTGGTGCATGCTGAGTAGGTGCAGCAATTCTAGCTGCAGCTTGTTAGGAAGATAGAGGAACTTTAGATGATGCTGCATGTCGAACTTTTCCAGGGCCTGCCATCTAGCACAACAACTCAACAATTACATGTGTGAAGCATATGTAAAATAAGCAATTACATTAATATCAATGGATGTATAATAGAATTAATATCAGAACATAAGTGATAACTAAAAAATAAAATGACATAAAAAACTAAAATATATATATATATATATATAGAGAGAGAGAGAGAGAGAGACAGGGACACACACAAACACACATATACAAAAAAAAAAAAAAAAAAAATCTTTTTAAATAGTCATTGTACTCAAACTCAAAGGCACTTAAACAACAGTGTCATAAAAACATAAAAATGACAAAAAAATTAAAGTTCTATGTCAAAATCTATATTAGAATTAAAAATGATTATGTAGCTTATCTTTTCGGATAGTCAATGCTCATAGTAATCATCTTCATTATTTTGCCCTCTTTCATCATCAACACCATCGTTGTGTGCTCGACTAACTGATTATAAAACCACCTCACTTGGGATAATTTGAGGATCAATGCCATTCCTATGAAGTGAGATTGTGATGGGGTCTTCAACGTTGACTGGGACAACATCAATTGTTTCATTCTGTTGGAATACATCATTAGGTTCAATGCCATCTTGTTTTGATACATCCTATATTCCTCGATGTTGTAGTCTTTCTACGACTTTCCAATGTCCACCTAACTTTGTATCATCAATGCAGAAAACTTGTTTCACATGACTTGGTAAGACAAATGGATCATCTTTATACCATCGACTTCTAACATCAATACTTGTGCAATGTGTATCGATATGTAACGATCTATTGCTACCGGTGTTGAACCATTCACATTGGAATAAAATAACTCGATGTCTAAGTATGTAACGCATCTCCCACACTTTGTTCAAGTACCCATAAAAGTCAATTGTTTGTCCTTCATGCTCCCTTTCCATAACTAACCCACTATTTTGGCATTTATGACTACTATCACGATCTTTACTAAGAAATCGAACACCATTGGAAATGCAATCTGAATGCAAATTAACATTTACACTAGGACCATTTGCTAATGACCACAAATCATCAGTTGCTTCTGGTAATCCTTGAGCTCGTAATTGGTTCATCTACATAACGACATCAATTTCAATCATTATGTTAGTATTCATATAAGTATAGCTGAATAAAGTTTAGGATTATATCTTACATGTTCTTTGAACCACTTGAGAAATTTCTCTTTCTGTCTCTTTGTGATGTCACGTGCACCTTGATTTTCTAAAAGATTCTTGTGTTACCTACTTACAAACATATGATTGATAAGTAACATATTATATTGAAAACATAATTCTACCAAAAACCAATAATAAGACCGTACTCTAGATAATGGTCCAACTTGAGGCTATTATTCAAGATGAACCAATGAGCCATTTCACATTCTTTCTAAGACACGTCAGAAGCCCTTGTAATTAGCCCAAAAGGACGAACATTTTGCGTGAAGACCTCTAACCCCAACTCATGCACACCAACATTGACATTTCATTCCTCTCGATTAAATACAGTTTCAATCCCACCAGATACATTGAGCAAAATGTGAGACACTCCTTGACAACATAAGCTTCTGCGATCGAAACTTTTGGACGAGCTCGATTTGTGACATATCCTTTTAATGTTCCAAGTAGCCTATGAAACAAACAATAGAATAATCTTATTACATGCACACTCACAGTTTTATAAATATATATACATGTTGTGCTAAAATTTAAGTATTCTAGTATATTAAGAAATTAGTAAGTACCTTTCAATGGGGTATATCCACCGATATTGCACAGGCTCACCAAGAATGGCTTCGCGTTGCAAAAGAATGGTCAAATGGACCATCGCATCAAAAAACGCTGGTAGAAAAATTTTCTCCAGCTTGCATATCTTCTAATTTTTCCAAATCCTTCACCTTCATTGTCTTTGAGAAAAGCTCTTGGAAGAAATTTCCCAACTCATATAATGCGACACAAATATCATTATGAAGATATCCACGCATTCCAATGGGAAGAAGTCGCTGTAGAAGGACATGACAATCATGACTTTTTAGGCCTGTTAACTTATCACCTTTTGTGCTCACACACCTTGAGATGTTTGCTGCATAACCATCAGGATACTTAATAGACTTTAAAAACTCACAGAAACCATGCCTTTCATCTAAGGACAAAGTGTACAATGCTGGGGGCTCTTTAAAAGACCCATCGGCATGCCTTTTTAGATACAACTCCTTCCTTATTTTCATATGTTCTAAATCTACGCGTGCTTTTTCTGTGCCTTTGTTTTTTTCATCTATACGCAGTAATGTTCCAAGAAAACTATCACATATATTCTTCTCTATTTGCATAACATCGAGGTTGTGTCAAAGTTTAAGTGTTTTCCAATATGGAAACATAAAAAAGTTTTTTTTTTTTTTGTTATCCAATTCAATACTAGATCTTCCCTTTTTCTTTTCTTATTGGTTGGATGCTTTCCAAATGGTCTGAATGTCCCTAAGTCCAATTGTTCTAAAATTTGTTCTCCTGATAACTCCAAAGGTCTTGACACAAACTCAGCCTTATCGTTATAAAGTCAACTCCTCCGCCAAGGGTGGTCATCAGGCAGGTAACGGTGAGCGCCTGTGTACACTATTTTACTTCTCAATCGTTGTGAGGATGCATTCTTGTTACATGTGGGACAAGCCAAATAACCTTTCGTACTCCATCCTAACAAGTTGCCATATGCAGGAAAGTCATTAATCGTCCATATAACAGCCGCATGCATTCGAAAAGTTAATGCAGTTGAGGCATCATAAGTAAGCACACCATCTTCCCATAACTCCTTCAACTCGTCAATTAATGGTCGCATGTAAACATCAATATCTCTCCCCGGTGCTTGTGGTCCAGGGATAAGTAATGACAATATACTAAATGATTGTTTCATACATTTCCAAGGAGGCAAGTTGTGAGGCATAACAATCACAGGCCATATATTGTACGAGTTGCTCAAGTTTCCAAAAGTATTGAAACCATCAGTGGCCAATCCTAACCTCACATTTCGAGTCTCTTAGGAAAACAAAGGATGTTGCCTATCAAAATTCTTCCATGCCTTACCATCAGCTCGGTGCCTGAATATCCCATCATCTACTCGCTTCTCTTTGTGCCATCTCATAGCTATAGCTATAGCTATTTTTCTCGACATATATAATCTCTGCAACCTCGGTGTCAACGGGAAATATCTTAAGATCTTATGAGGAATTTTCTTACCTTTTCCATCATTCAACTTGTATCTGGACTCTTGACAAATTAGACAATTCTCTAAATTTGCATTTTCCTTCCAAAAAAGTGCACAATCATACTTACATGCATGAATCGACACATATCCTAAGGCTAAGTCACGTAAGAATTTTTTGGTTTCATAAAGGGTCCATGGAATCACTTGGTCACTTACCGGTAGAAGGTCCTTTAATATCCCCAACAACACGTTGAATGACTTATAGGTCCACTTGTTTAACACCTTTACATGAAACATCTTAACAACAAATGATAAAAGAGAAAACTTACGACACCCAGGGTACAACTCTCTTTGAGCATCATTCAACAATTTGTTAAAGTTGGGCATGTCCTCTTTTTCAATATTATTAGCCACATTATCACCATCGCCATCGTCCTCTTTATCCCCATCGTTTTCATCATCATTCATGATAGTCCTTATAGCGATCCCGGTTGTCCCTTTACTGTTCTGTTGTGTTCCGGACTCGGTTCCGTGAAGTTGGTAGTGGTATCTATCTTGTTGTCGTCCTTTAATTTCACTTGATTGAGTTTTAGGATGTTTTGGGCAGGGTTGTTACAGGTTGGTTAGGCCTTGGTTTCAATTCCTTGTTGTTCAGTTTTTAGGCGATCCGCTCGAGCGAGTCTTCTTGCGCTCGAGCGGGGATTGCACACCTCCAGTATTTCGTGTTCCTGCAAAACTTCTGCAGATGTGATTTTTACGCTCGAGCGGGTTTGTTTACGCTCGAGCGGTGGCGCTCGAGCGGGCTTGGTGGCGCTCGAGCGGGTAATACTTCCTAGGTATAAGTTCTGGGAGGTGGAGATCTACGCTCGAGCGGACTGGTTTTCACGCTCGAGCGAAAGTGCTGTATTCTTGTGCCTTGACGCTCGAGCGGGCCTTGTTGCGCTCGAGCGTGTTCAGATTTTGTTCTTGGCGCTCGAGCGTTGTGTCCTCCGCTCGAGCGGGTCGTACGTATATGAGTTATCCGCTGGGTGATTTTAAATCACTTTTTGATTTTCTTTCTCTGTCCTACTTTTTCTAAAACCCATTTTTGAGAGCCTCTCTCTCTAGAAACTCCCTTCTCTCTAGGGTTTGATCTAGTTAGAGTGTCCTCCTTTTCTTCGGCCTTTGTAAAAGTTGTGTGGATCGTCGAGGACGTCATTTTGATCCGAGAATCTTGGTCTTTGGAGCATTTTGGTTTTGGCTTCTTCTCCATCCAAGCTCTAACTTCGAGGTAGGGATAACCTACTCCTTACTATGAGCTTTGTCCTTAAATTTTAGTATTTTGAGATGTTGGGGTTGGTTTGGTGATTTTGTGAAAGTTTGGGGGCCTTGGTGAAATTTTTACAAAAGTTGGGGTTGTGGCTATATAAAACCTAGATGCATGTTTGGCATGGAAAAAGTAAAATTAATGTTAAAACATTAATGAAAATGGAACCTAAGGGTTGTAATGTTAATTATGAAAAATGCCCTAATTACATTGGTTAATTAATTTGCATAATTAATTATGGGAAATGAGAAATTGGTTTGGAAAGGTATGGGATTAAAGGGTGCAGTTGGATTATTTATCACTCACCTAGTTGAAATGTTGATTATATATCCATTGTTGCATTTATTTTCTGTATAGAAATAACTGCTTTGGGCTATCGGTGGAGGATAGTCTTGATTGTTGTAGACAATGCATGATGATTAGGCAAACTGAAACTAATCACTGGAATGTGTCATTGAGTATGACAGTTGAAAGAATACATTAAATTTATGTATTGTGTGGTGATGTGTATAATTATTGTTTATATGCATTGTGTGTGTGGAGGAGATAGGGGATGTACTCCACGGTTTAGGGGAAGATAGGGGATGGACCTCTAAACCGGATGTGTTGGGAGGAGATAGGGGATGGACTCCATAGATAGAGCTCATATGCTTATCTATTTATGTGTTGACAGAGCTCATATGCTTGTCATTGGAAGTGTGATAGTGCTTTTATACATATCTATGGAAGTGATGATATAGCTTGTATGCTTATCTGTTGATGTGTGATATAGCTAGTATGCTTATCTATTGTGAAATGGGAAAGTGCTTAATATGAGTTATTGTCTCATATAAATTGTTTGGCCAGGTTCTGAGCCATGATTATAAATTGAGAATTGAAAGGAATTGGAAAATGGATTGTAACATGGACTTGTATGTCATGAAACTGCAAAGTGTGATAAGGAAAAGTATCAGTATTGACCATCTATCAATTGCTAATCTTTTAGTCATTGTCCATATTTGGTTTAGTGTATTTCTACTGGGCTGTGGCTCACCCTTTACGGGAATATCATTTTCAGGTACAGGTAACATGCCACCTCCAAGGACATAGCTTGGGAGGCTAGAGGCGGACACACTTTTGTTGTCTTATTTCTTTTGAAGTATTACATGTATATTCAAGCCAAGGGCTTAATGTGTAATTGAGTTAGTACTCTTTTATTGTAACCAAGTGTTAACTTGGAAAGCTGTAAGCCCGTAGGACATTTGCTTTTATTGTTAACATGTAATACTTTTGTAATAGAACTCTGATGAATAGAATCATATGGAGCTTTTATATATCATTGCGTGTCTCTGTTAATGGATTTAAATGTTATTTTTTTTGAGGGCGTGACAGTCCCCATGTAAACATCTTCTAACAAATTTAGGATTTCATCTTGATCTTCGCCTGTCTCTTCTTCCATTCTATCCCAACACTTCCAAAGTCATTGTGGTTGTCATCATTGAATGCATAAGATTGATTCATGGGAACAAATTCCTTGTGATGCACCCAAGTCTTATAAGACGGGGACATTCCTTTCACGACCAAATGATACTCCACAATTTTACTAGTATGCCATTCACAATTTAAACAGTCCAGACAAGGGCAACGGATCTTATCATTTGGCTCTACATTTGCCATTGCAAATTGAACAAAAGCCTTCACCCCATCTCGATATTGGAAACTCATCCTATTCTTAAGTAACATCCAACTCTTGTCCATATTTGGTTACCTAGAAAGCCAAGGTTACATGAAATTGTTATTATGTATATTAATATCCAATCGATAAGTAGTCCTATCCCATTTATGAATGCATAATGAAAAATATACTAAAATACTAACCTTTAACTTAATTAGGCATGTGTAATTTATTTGTAAGACTAAATTAATTATTTAGTTGTTACGATAACCCACATGACATGGCAATTTTAATTAGAGATTTTACAGGATTATGATTCCATATCTTTTGCTCCAAGGTGTTATCTAATAGTGATTTCCGAGTATCCTACTTTGATAGTTCTAAATCTTGGATTATAAAAGTTATTATATGCAATACACCATAAAATAATTTACATTATTAACAAAGTTGTATTAACAATAGTAAGTGATAACCAAGAATTAATATTCAAGTAGAATATGCAATTTACAGTAAAGGGTGAAAAACAATCATATAATAATGATGAAGTGGATATATAAATTAGAATTGCTATATAAATTATGGTATATTGAAATAAAAATGCCCTAACAAATAGTCAAAGCTTACTTGATGTAGTAATTGCCCCCAACGAATGAGTGCAGCTTTTTTATCTCTTTGCATTAGCCAATTACCTATAACATTTGCAATTATAAAATCAAAGTTTAAATTAAAATTGCACTACACATCGAACCAAAATGTGATGTACACATCTAAATAAATGCTTATACTTATAATCTAGACAACAATTGTATTCTTAGTAGAAATGAAAACTACCCTACATTCTTTTTAGTACATAAAATCATTTCCATTTTTTATCTTTTAGTCTTATAACCCAAATTTCATATGCTTGTTGCAATTAAAATTCTTTCCCATATTAGAAACCTATATCCATGCAGAGCAGAAAATCATGCATATCACCACTATTACAAGTCATTTTGTTTTTCTGGAGGTAATCATGTTAGAAAACAAGCATCTCAGATCAACACCAGCAACTTTGTGTAAGGTCCTTGATCTTGAACTTATATTTAAAAAATTATGCAGTTGTCCAACAAGTATCTACCAAGACAAAGCTAAAATCTATGCACATTTAATGAAGCATGTTTCCTTTTGCAGTGACAGATATGCAAATTGCCTGGCATAAAATCCAGCAAAGCCAAGATTACAGTACTTTCTAAATCAGCATAGATGACGACAATGCTCTTCTCTACAAATTGACCCTCGAATTTTGGGTCTTAAAATTTTAATATTATGTATTTTTATGGCATGTTGGCTTCCAACATGGCATTCATCCATCCAAAATTGGCCAGAAGTTGGTTTGGGGAGTAAATTGAGAAAAATTACAAATGTTAGGGGCCAAAGTGGCAAAAAAATACTTCAAGGGCCAAAATGGGAAAATTGTGATACCTGGGGCAAAGTGTAATTTATCCAAAATGTTAATGTAATGTATTTTTATGCCACTTGGCACCATGTGACTACCAATGTGTCATTCCTATCCAAAATTGGATGAAATTTGGCTTTGGGATTAAATTTGGAAAAAATACACATGTTAGGGGCCAACATGGGACAAAAATACTTTTAAGGGCCAAAGTTGGAAAACTATGAAACCTAAAGGGTGCAAAGTGTAATTCACCTTATCCAAAAACTGGCCTTGCTAGTGTTTTGGGTTTCTGACTATATGCTAAGTTAATGGGTGATAAATTGAGTCCTAAGTTTGGTTGGCTTATAAAAAAATTAAATTTTCGAGTGTCTTATAGACTAGGTTTCTAGCTAGTGGCTTGAGGAAGATGTTGCCATTCCATTATAGATTTTTGTGCAACTATAGTCTCTTATCTTTGTCAAGGCATATGAATGCTGATGAAGTTTAGAGTTCTATGTTGGTATTTCATGATATTGTC